AAAACCCTGGTCCCCGGGCTCGGCATTCGAGGCCTTCGTGACCCGCCTGCCTCCCGCCTCCCAGCACCGTTCCTGCTGCTTTTCCCACGTCAGCTGTGTTTCCGCTGCCGTCGGCGGGACACACCAGCCCTTTGCACCTGTGGTTCCTTCTGCCTGGTGGTCCGTCCCCCTTTCTTTTCTTTCTTCCTTTTTTTTTTTTGCATCTGACAGTACATTCATTCACGCCGCCTGTGCCCGTGTGGGGCAATGTTCCACACTCTCGTCTAACACATAGAACCTGCTTAAATTTCCCGTCGGACCACCGTGCTGTGGGATGTGGGCTCCAAATGAAGCTGGTTAACAGTGGCCATAAGCAGGCGCGGGACCCCAGGCTTTCAAAGCTTTGCTTCTTTCATCAGCATTCATGAGCTTATAACTGATGGAGCCCATCAACCCCATTCTTCCCCAAATCTTCCAGTAAACTTGGGTAGAGTAGGGCTTCCTGGGGACCCAAGCATGTTTTTTGTTTTTTGTTTTATTTTGCGGTACACGGGCGTCTCACTGTTGTGGCCTCTCCCACTGCGGAGCACAGGCTCCGGACGCGCAGGCTCAGCGGCCACGGCTCACGGGCCCAGCCGCTCCGCGGCGTGTGGGATCATGAACCCGCAGTCCCCTGCATCGGCAGGTGGACTCTCAACCACTGCGCCACCAGGGAAGCCCGCAAGCATGTTTAATAAGGCTTTGAGGCATCTCCAAACAGAACGAACGGTTCAGGCCACTCCAAAGCCCCACGGCCAGTGACCCAGAAAGGTCACCGAGGAGGGAGGCACCGCACTTCTGCCCCCTTCTCATGTGAGGAGAGTTGGGCTGTTCCATCGGGACCCCGGGCCCTGGCCTACATACTCCTGCAGCTTCGATCAGTGCACATTGTAGTTTAAGCATCTCGCCTCTCCAAGAAGCAGGGGCCATCCTGTACACACGTGGCCACTTGGTACTGGGGCCTCCAGGCACAAATGACGTCTTCAATGTAAACACTCCCTCATCAGGCTCCTTCTTGGAAAGGAGAGAGGAGACAGATGTGTTCCCGCCCCAGGCAGACAGTAACCAGATCAGTCCCCAGTAATCACGTCGCACGCCCCAGATTAACAAGGATAGGAAGCCAGGGCAGGGTGTGCTGGCTGTCAGGGAGACCACCCTGCAGGTGGGGACCCTGTGGGAGGTCGGGGGGACCACCCTGCAGATGGGGACCCTGTGGGAGGTCGGGGGGACCACCCTGCAGATGGGGACCCGGCGAGGCTGGAAACGTGAGGGACAAGCATCCCAGGTGGAAGAGCCAGCATGTACGAGACCCAGGCTTGAGAAACGAGGCAACAGCTCTGCAGCTGGAACGGGGGGCGTGGAGACGGCCGGAAGATTGTCGGGGCCATGGACCAAGTTTATGCAGTCAGTGGGGAGCTGCTGAGGATTTGGCCAGGGTAGTGACAGGGTCGGATTTCTAAGACACGCCAACCCCTAACATCGCAGGGGGGCAGATAAGAGGAGAGAGAAGCAGCTGGTTGGGCAGAGCTGGTGCTAGGATGGGAGAGGTGTGGATCTGAAAGCTATTTAGGGTGGGAAGCCAGCTCCACGTGGGAGTGGTGGCCCATGGGGGTAGGGGGCGAGGGGCTTCCAAAATTCAAGGACGTTTAGGTGGCGTTCGGAGAGGTGAGGATGTCTGGGAAGGGAGCACGGGCGCAACTGCCTACACGCAGGGTGTCTGCACCCTCTGGAGGCTGGGAGTGAAGGGGAAATGGGGGGTGTCTGTGGGGGCCCCTCTGCTTCTCTTCCTCCCCCGCCACTCCCACACTTGATTCAGGTCAAACCGCCCGGGAGCAGGGCCTCTCCAAGGATGGTGGATGGCGGTGAGCTGCAGCGTCTGCCGTCAGGGGGCTTCAGGACAGAGAACATCCGGGCCCCAGCTGCCAGAGCCAGACCACCCTCAGGCCAGCAGCTGGCTGGGGGGCAGTGGCCCGGCAGCCTGTGTCCCACAGTGGCCTGTAGGAATTTCACTCCTTCCCTTGGGATCAGAGGGCTTCGTGGAGGAGGGAGTGTTTGCAACATCCCCTTGGGGCTGTGGATGGTCCCTTGTCCCAAGACGGGTGACCACTGTCTCCCAAGACTGCCTGGTGCCCGCCTCACCCCTGCCGGAAGTTCTGGGCATTACCTGCCTACCCTGAGCTCCCAGGGAGGCCAGGCGAGGAAACAGTGCTCTGTGACCTTCCCAAGCCCTGTGTCCCCAGTACCACGGGTACTGGCAGTGTTCTTCAACATCCACTTGGGACGGAGCGTGGAACATAGCTCATGGGGAGACACCAGGTGGCCATAGAGGAATGTCTAGGAGCTCAGGGTCTGCGTGGAGTAGGAGAGAACGGGGTTCAGATTCTAGCTCTGCCGCGTAGCGTTCGTCACCTCATGGTCTGAGCCTCAGTTTCCTCATCTGTGCAACGTGCATAGTTATGGGCCCTCCTGCTGCAGTGGTGGAACTCCAGAGACATGATGTGAGCTGATTGCTCTGTTGGGGGCCGCTACAGAGGAAGGCTGGGAGCTGGGAGCCATGGCCATCCTCTGTGTGCCTCAGCCTGGCCACCCGGGATGGGGGCGATGACCCCACCGGCTCAGGCTCAGCTGAGCACGCTGTGTGGCCCCCTGAGCACCTTTGTTCCTGCCTGATTCTGCCTGTCTGACTCTGCAGGAGGGGGAGTGGGGCAGGCCCAGGGCTGCCCTCAAAGGCACAGGCTCACTGGGGTCTTGAGATGAGCTGGGGGCTGCCCTGTGTAAGGCGCAATCTCCTTCTCATCCCTTTAGACACGAAGGAGGGGGCATGAGGCGCCTCCCCGGCTGCCTCCACGTCCCACCCACTGCCCTGAGAGCTGGCCCACCCTCTAGCCAGGAGACTGAGATGACTTATTCCTGGGTCCCCCTCGGCCCCTGGGTGTGGTGCCTTCAGTGGCAGCATCGAGAACTTGACCATTACTAACTGGTGGCCTCGGGCAGCCTGTCTGTGCCTCTGTTCCTCCGTCTGTTAAATGGGGATCATAGTGGGCTTGTGAAGACGCGCTGGGTTTACACGTGTACAGAGCTCAGAACAGCCCAGCGCGGTCGGTTCCGTTACTGTTGCCCCGGGCACACAGCAGGAGTTCAATAAAGCTCCGTAGCTGAGCGGCAGAATGAGGAGCTCACCCGAAGGTGGGGCTACGTGGTGATGAGCCCCTTCTCCGCCGGCACCCCCCCAGCTTCCGGACACCCCCCACCCCCATGTTCTTTTTCCAGGTGCAAGTGCAACGGGCACGCCAGCGAGTGTGGCCCCAACGAGGAGGGCCGGCTGGTCTGCCGATGCCAGCACAACACCGTGGGCACGGACTGCGAGCGCTGCCTGCCCTTCTTCCAGGACCGCCCGTGGGCCCGGGGCACAGCCGAGGCGGCCAGCGAGTGTCTGCGTGAGTGTCCTGGGACTTCGGTGGCCGGAGGCCGGGGGTGCAGGCCAGGAGACAAACTCCCCATCCCTGGCAGCGGGGCTGCTCCTGGAGGGCCTGGCCGCAGCTTTTGGGGCTCTAAATCCTGTGCAGGTATGAGGAGGAGCTGAGGGGGGTGCTGGAGGGGCCACGTGATCCTCCGTCCTCACCCCCCCCAGGCAGCCCCTCAGACCCAGTCTCCCCAGGTAGAGGCATGCGTGGCAGGAGGGCTGAGAAGGACCCCCAACTTGTTCCTTTGTGTCAGCTGCTCCAGCCACAGCTGTCGATCAAAGCCAGGCCACCCCAGGTCCTGGGGTTGCTGACCTGCCCACCCAGCCTCTCCTGCAGGCCCCTAGGCAGCCCTTCGCTGGCCCGGCCCCCATGCGACATGGCTGGCACTGCCTAACCTCACAGACACGCTGGAGAGGATGTTGCCATCATACTTTTTCCAGGGATGGGGGCCGCGCATGGGGTGGGGGGCTCCTCCCAGCCTGGCATGCCCCTCCAGCTTCCCTCTGTCCCCAAGCCCTGCCCTCTGACAGTCATCTGGCTTGCTCCGGGCTCCCATGTGTGTGGCTGGTCGTCGCTGGGCACCAGACTCCACCTAGCTCTGCTGCTGGCAGGAGGCATGTCTTCATGTGCAGGCGCTCCTGACGGCTCAGCCTCTGGACCCACTGTGCTCCTGGGGCTTGGGCTGCTGGCATGTAGAGCTGGGGTGGGGAGAGGACGGCTTGTTCCATGGAACAGGATGCTGTCTGCAGGAGCTTCCCGGGGCCACTGTGGCCCTAATGAGTTCCTGCTGCCCTTGCTGGCCTGCCTCCACCAGGAAGTCCTCTCGGGGTCAAGGAAGCTGGCTGGCTCACCCATTCTGAGTCTGGGGCTCTCTCCATGGTGGGGACACAAAAGGCCAGATTGCTTCTCCCGTCAGGTCCTCACCCCTGAGGTCACGTCTCTGTCCTCCCGGCCTGGAACCTGCGGTTCGTGCCTGATCCCTCGCGCTCCCCAGTCCGGGCAGCCCCTGAGCCGCATTCACATCCCCCCCCAATCCATCTGACTGTGTCCTTCAACACGGTCGACACTGTGGTCCGGCCGGTCACCCCTCCTCTGAGCATCTGAAGCCCCCGCCTCCCTGCTCTCCCAGCCCCCATACCCTGCCCGCCACCCAGCTGAAGGCACTTTCAAGTGCAGATGTGATTCCACGGAGCCCCTTGCTCCAAGGTGAAGTCCACTGACCACGGCTGGCTGCCCAGCCTCCCTGGATCAAGCCCTGGCTGACCCCTTGACCTCATAACTGCCCCTGCGCCCCTCCCTGTCCCGGCACAGTGCACAACGCCCCCACCCTCTGCCCTGCCCATCACATGACATGCCACCCTCCCACGCCACACTGGGTGAACCTTGCTTCTCTGCCTGTGCCATAACTGTCCTCTGCCCTCCTGTCTGGGACTCTCCCTTCCCTTTCCTCCCCTCCTTTGCCTGGACACTTCCTTCCTGCTCACCCTTCAGGTCCCACTTAGCTGTGGCTTCCTCCGGGAAGGCAGCTGTAGGGCCCTCCTTTCACCTCCCGGAGCCTCCCTGCCTCTCCCATCACAGCCCTTCACCTGCAGGATATTCACCTGCTTGCTGCATCTGACCTCCATCAACAGTGGGACCATGTGTGCGGGCACTGGTCCACACCATGCTGGGCTCACCACGGGAGCCAAGATGGAGCCGATCTTTGGTACATACTTTTTTTTTTTTTAACATGAATGTACTTTGTTTTTTTTATTTATTAGTTTTGGCGGCATTGGGTCTTCGTTGCTGTGCGAGGGCTTCTCATTGCGGTGGCTTCTCTTGTTGTGGAGCACGGGCTTTAGGTGTGCAGGCTTCAGTAGCTGTGGCACGTGGGCTCAGCAGTTGTGGCTCGCGAGCTCTAGAGCGCAGGCTCAGTAGTTGTGGCGCACGGGCTTAGTTGCTCCGCGGCATATGGGGCCTTCCCGGACCAGGGCTCGAACCCATGTCCCCTGCATTGGCAGGCAGATTCTTAATCACTGTGCCACCAGGGAAGTCCCTTTGGTACATACTTTTTAAAAATGTAGGAAGAGTAAGCTGGGACGAAGTGAGAGAGTGGTATGAACTAATATATACTACCGAATGTAAAATAGATAGCTAGTGGGAAGCAGCCGCATAGCACAGGGAGATCAGCTTGGTGCTCTCTGACCACCTAGAGGAGTGGGATAGGGAGGGTGGGAGGGAGACGCAAGAGGGCAGAGATACAGCGATATATGTATATGTATAACTGATTCACTTTGTTATAAAGCAGAAACTAACACACCATTGTGAAGCAATTATACTCCAGTAAAGATGTTTTTTAAAAAATGTATTTAGTGAATGAAAGGTGACTTGTGTTTTCCATGCTTCTGAGTGACCTCATGGTCACTGGGGATCAGATTCACATACTCTTATGGCTCAGAGGATCCACAGGAGATCTTGGAGGGAGCCACGCTGCCACTCGAGAAGGTAGCCAGTCTGTGATCCATGACCAGGTGACTGTACATCCTGGCTTGCCTGGGAGGGTCCTTTGTGTGGGTATATTTATTAATGGTGCCCCCTTTGTTCTCGAGAGTGTCCTGTTTTGGAAGATCAATTGACTGGTCTCCAGATCCTTGATCAAGCCAGGCCTGAACTCCATCCTTGCCCTTCCTCCAGCTGCCTGCTCACTCACTACAAGGAAGCTGATTGACCCATACTCCCATCCTACCATGTGCCACGGCCCCTCTCACACACCCTCCCCCACCTCCTGCCCACAGCTTGCAACTGCAGCGGCCGCTCTGAGGAGTGCATGTTTGACCGGGAGCTCTTCCGCAGCTCGGGCCATGGTGGGCATTGCCTCCGCTGCCGTGACCACACAGCCGGGCCACACTGTGAGCGCTGCCGGGAGAACTTCTATCGCTGGAAGCCACAGATGCCATGCCAGCCCTGTGACTGCCACCCAGCAGGTGAGTGGGCCGCGCTGCCCCGGCCCCCACCCTCGCCCACCGCCACGGGCTCCTGCTGCCCTGTGCCCTTCCTCCCCAGGCTCCCTGCACCTCCAGTGCAATGACTCCGGCACCTGCATCTGCAAGCCCACGGTGACGGGCTGGAAGTGTGACCGCTGCCTGCCCGGGTTCCACTCGCTCAGTGAGGGCGGCTGCAGGTGAGGGCGGTGGGGACAGTGGGTATAGATGACCCAGCAAGGGCGCACGGCGGCAGATTTGGACTGAATGATGGGAAGCAGGAGGGAGAGTCCCAAGCCCCTCGGAAGGCAGAGTTGGCAGCAGGTGGTTACCCGGGGGCGGAAGAGGAAGAAGGGATGAAGGCTGACCCCCTGGGGTTCTGCTTCAGGCACCTGGGCGCAGGGAGGCCATTCATGGCAAGGGGAGCACAGGGTGGGGAGAGGCTGAGTCTGCAGTGCTCGTGGGGCATCCAGGGGGACAGAGATGGGCAGGGGCTACTGGGGTCTGGACATAGAAGAGGGTCTAACACTTTACTATCACTTGATTGAGAAAATACACAGTGACCCCCCCCAAAATAAAGCCCTTATAAATTCAGAAGTATTATTAAATGACCTTGGCTTTGGTTCAATTGCACCAGTCTCCTTGTGTATTTGAAAGGCAGTGGAAATGCCACTGAGGAGGTTTGGGGAGTCTCAGATCTCTCTCAAAATACTCAGTCGTTCAGGCATAAAACTGGCCATTCGGTGGGGACCTGGATGCTTCCCCAGGGTCTCTATGGCCTCTGGGCCTCTGTACATGCCACTCCTACCCTGGAGCATTCTCTTCTCTCTCAACACCCTGCCTCTCCCCGGCCTGTGTCTGAACAAAGTCCTACTCATTCTTTAATTTTCAGCCAAGGTACAACTCCCCACCTTGTTCCCACTCCAGACACCTCATTGGTGCTGCCACAGCCTCTTCTTGTACATTCTCTCCCATAGCTTGTATCAAAGTACGGCATCTACCTGTTTGCCTGTCCATCCTCACTGGACTCTAGGCTCTGTGAGGACAGGGACCGTGTCTTACCAGATGGGGGGATGGATGGATGGATGGGTAGATGGATGGGTGGGTGGATGGAAAATGCATGGATGGGTAAGTGAATAGGTGTGTGGGTGGGATGGATAGAAGGATGGAAGGATGAATAAATGGATCAGTGGTTGGAAGGATGCACAGATGGATGAATGAGTGGATGGATAAGCAGGTGGGTAGGCAGATGGATCACTGTTCAGGTGAGTGGATGGGTCACTTCCTTCACTCAGTGGGAACAGTAGAGCCAGGGGGCAGGCTCTTGGGTCAGGCTGCCTCCTGTTCCTCTCGGGCGTGGGGAAGGATAGAGAGATTCCTTCCAAGGAGGGTGGGTTATTCCCACTCTGGATTTGCTCGTTGGACGCTTTCCTCTTGTCCTCTCTCTTTGGCAGACCCTGTACCTGCAATCCCGCTGGCAGCCTGGGCACCTGTGATCCCCGCAGTGGCCGCTGTCCCTGCAAAGAGAATGTGGAAGGCAACCTGTGTGACAGGTGGGTGAACCGATCCAGTAATAAGCCTGCTGGAAGTGACCTCAGTGGTGGTGGGAGGAGCAGGGGCCATCATCCTCCCAGACTTGGGCAACCCCACCACCTGGCAGCCTTCCTGGAGCACCATGGATCTGACACCCAGGAAGTTATCTAAAGACTTTACAACACCATTTATGCTTTGACCCACCACCACTGAGAGTTCATAAGCTGTGAAAATACATCTTTTTTCTCCTAGCTCAGAATCCTGAAAAGAAAGAGCTAGAAAGGATAGGAGAGACCATCTAATCCAGGGAGAGCAGATACATGGTACTCGTACCACAACCCTCCCATCTCACACTCAGGGCAGACATCACTAATAGAGTGCTACCACAACCCTCCCATCTCACACTCAGGGCAGACATCACCAATGGACCACAGCAGTTTACCATGAGCTCTACTGTAACCTCAGAATCCTTCTCTACGCCCTGCTCCAAGAAGCTGCCACCAGTTGAGCTGAGATTCAAGCTTGTTTGCCATCCTTGCCATCCTATCATGGTACAAGCGGAGCTTCTAAGGCTCAACGAGGCAGAAGGACTTTTCCCTGCCCTTCCTCCTTCATGTGTTTAGGGGGCCTCCTAGCCCCAGCAATGGGCTGGCAGACAAATGTGGGTTTACGTCCTTGGGCACACTCTGTCCCCTCTTCCTGGCTTCATCTCCAACCTCTGAAGCCTTTGCAGCCAGCATGGGGTGTGCCAGGGCCTCTTTGATCCTCTGGCCATGCGCCATGTGTGGGGAACCTGACACGACAGTATATTGTCAACTCTACTCTTGCCAGACTATGTTGGGCCTCTACTGGCTCAGGAAGAAGCCCGGCCTTGACTCTCACCTTGTCCACGTGGGGCCTGTGGGTCCCGGGCTGGGAGGTGGACTCCCTGCTGGGTCTTCCTCCCCCAAGACCCCTCAAGCTGAAGAGACAGAGTGGAGTTGGCGGACTAGATCCCACTAACTCTACTCCACTGCCTCGTACCTTGAGGAGGTCTGCCTCTGAGCCTCACTTTACCTGTTTGTGAGATGGGGGGCTGGTGAGATGTGTTCGTTGGAGCTGGCCCAGCTTTGGGGTAATTGGCAGCTTCTTATGAATTGGATTCCTCCACCTGGGTCGGCCCGAACGGAGCCCCCATGGTGCAAACCAGGAATATGTGTTTGTAAAAGGCCTCTGCAGGGCTCCTGGGAGAAATGGCTGATTCTGGGGCTGGGGCGGGGAAAACACAGGATGAGCCCGAAGCATCTTGTAGAAAGCAGGGAAGTGCTTCAAAACAAAACCAGACAAAGACAAACCCAGAAAACCCCAAACCAGGATGGGGGCCCGTGTCAAACGGACATGAGCGCCAACCTGAAAGAGTTCCCAGAACTGGAACAAAATAAATAACAACAATATCGGATTATAACCCAAAGTATAAAATAAACATCCACGAGTCCACACTGATATAAATAGATGAGTGAATAAATAAATAAAGGGGGATGAAGGGACAAATCTTCCTGGCAGAAGAATTCCACATTATAAATGGAGAAGGGATGAGGGAAATATTAAAGCGCTGTTACAGTATCAGAGTAACGATCACTGTAGGCCAGAGCCGCTGATGAATGCTGAAATTCGTGGGCAGAACTTGAGGGAGAAACAGGATATTTGCCTGGCCCCCAAATATCTCCCTGAAAATATTCACTAATTACTGTGGTGCTTTCACCATAGCTCCACGATTCTTTGATTACTGCCCCCCTCCCAGAGGTGGAGCTTAATTCCCTTTCCCTTGACCCTGGGCTAGATTTAGTGACTTGCTTTTGACGACCAGAATGTGGCAGTTTTGCAGTGGAGAGACCTGGCAGGGACTTCCCTGGTGGTCCAGTGGTTTAGACTCCGCACTCCCGATGCAGGGGGCCCGGGTTCGATCCCTGGTCAGGGAACTAGATCCCACATGCCACAACTAAGAGTTCGCGTGCAGCAACTAAAGATCCCGCACATGGCAACGAAGATCCTGTGTGCTGCAACTAAGACCTGGCGCAGCCAAATAAATATTAAAGAAAGAAAGAAAGAAAAGAAAAGAAACCCGGCAGGCAGCGCCTTAACTAAATGGTGAAGGTTAACTTTACCAGTGATGTCATACGTGACCAGTGATGTCATACATTACCACTGACATCACACAGGTATCATTTACCCTGATATGATGTGAGAAGACGGGCACTTTGCCTCTATTTCTTCCCCAAACCCACAGCCCCAGTCTAATCTTGAAAAACACCAGACAAACCCAAATGGTGGACATTCTACAAAATATCTGACCAGTACTGTCAAAAGTGTCTGGGAAAGACCGAGAAGCTGTTACAGATGAGATTAAGGGCACCGCTAAATGCAATGCCATGTCCTGGATGGGATCCTGGAGCAGAAAACAGACGTTCGTGGAAAAGGGGGAGAAATCCTAATAAAGTCTGGGGTTTAGGAAATAACGTTAATCGGTGTTAATTTCTTGGCTTTGATAAACGTACCCTGGTAATGGCAGATGTTAACTTTAGGAAAAGCTGGGTGAAGAGGCCATGGCAACTCGTGTCTACAATCTTTGCAACTTTTCTGTAAATCTGAAATTAAAACAACTTTCCCCAGTGATTCTGGGCTCCGGGTAGTCTAGCTGGGATCCCCCGAATGTAGCCAATTCATCTGGCCCCCGTGGGCGTGTCCGCCTCCATTGCAGATGTCGCCCGGGTACGTTTAGCCTGCAGTCCCACAGCCCAGCCGGCTGCAGCAGCTGCTTCTGCTATGGCCACTCCAGGGCGTGTGCGGCCGCTGCCCGCTTCCAGGAGCACCACATCCTCTCCGACTTCCGCCGGGGTAAGAAGTCCCCCCCCTGCAGCCACCTCCAAGGGGTCTGCTCACAGCACAGCTGGGACGGGCGGTCCTGGGTCCTGCTCTGGGGAGATCCTGCGATGGTGGTATGGGTGGGTGTGGAAAGGAGGGGGCAGCCTCGGGCCCCAGCCCAGGCGTCTCCCACAGGCCCACACACGGGCCGTGCCCCTCTGGGTCCGTCACTACCCCCAGCACCTACCTGCACCCCTCGGCTCCCTCCTGGCCGCTGCTGTCTTCCTCAGCCTCCAGCAGGGGTGGGGGGTGGGCACCTGGCAGCCTTTGGAGCCTGTGGGGGAATTTCCAGTTGCTCGTTGGCCCCCTAGTGCTGGGGATCCGGGCTCAATCCCCTGGCCTCCATTTATTGAGCACCTGCTATATGCTAGGCGCCATGCTGAGCTCGTTATGTCCGTGGAACCTCCTGGATTCCCTGGCAGGTAGATATTCTCATCCCCATTTTACAGATGAGGCACCTGAGGCCCAGAAAAGGAAGGTCATGTAACTTAGTTGTTGGCACCTTCGGTTCATGAGCTCCTGAGTTTTGCTCTTCACTGCTGTGCAGGTCTTCTCTCTAGGTCCAGGGGTGCTGTGGGGACCTGGGTCCCCAGCTCCAGGTGGATCTTTGGAGCAGGAAAGCAGTGGAGCTCTGAACTCTGCATTAAATCATGGCCTGCGTGGGTCCCTTCCATGCCCACTGAGTCTCCCCACCCCCGCATCTCCCCCAGGGAGCTAGAACCTCAGGGCTGGCTCTGGGGCGCCCCAGATGCAGGGGGAGAAGTGCGCCCTCTGCTGGACACCACGCAGAAAGCAGGACCGAGCGGGGCTTGGAATGGGGACCGCGTTGCGGTCACTTGGGCTGTAGTCCAGGATGTCAGCGTCAGAAGGGACTCATTTTATAGATCCTAGAATAACATCACGATCCTCCTCACTTGGAGCCAAGCCCTGGGTTTGGCACTTCAGTCTCAGCATCTCACGTGATCTCACTAACACCCTCGGCCAGCAGTTCTCAAACTCTTTGATCTCTGGATCCCTTCATGCTCTTGAAAATTAGAGAGAACCTCAAAGTCCTTTTGTTTAGGTGGGTTGTTTATACGGATATTTTCTGTATTAGAAATTAAAACAGTAGTTTTTAAATATCTGTGTATTAATTCATTTACAGATGACCGTAGTAAACTTATAACAAAATATAACTTCTGCCTGTGAAAAATAACCCTCTTTTTAAAAGACAAAAAACTCTGAGAAGAGTGCTACCCGTTTTACATTTTTGCACATCTCTTTAAGGTCTGGCTTAATAGAAGTCAGCTGATTCTTACCATGGCTTCTGCCATTTAGTCTGTTGTGATAGCACACATCCTGTATCTTCTGGAAAATTCTCACTGTAAGAAAGAGAATGAAAAACGCAAATAACATTTTAATGTTATTTAGAAGATAGTTTGACGCCATGGACCCCCCTGAAATAGCCTTAGGGATCTCCCAGGATATTCAAACCAACTTGAGAACTGCTACCGGGACCACAGTACCTCATTGCCTCCATTTTGCAGATGAGGCACTAACCGGCTTCAGAGAGGTTAAGTAACTTGCCCAGGGTCACACAGCCAGCAAAGGGGCAGACAAAGTCTAGCATGGAGGAGCCCCGGACTTCCCCTTTCTGACCTCTTTCTGTTTCTTCATCCCTCCCTCCTCACCCCTTGGGTGCCCCAGGTGTTGGGCCTCCACCGTATTCTCCAGCTGTCCCCCTGGAGAGCACCCTCTGGAGGTCACTTGCTCTGTGCCCGACTGTGCCTGGTGTACTGCCATCACCAGAGGGAGGGTGGACTGAACTGGGACTGGGCTCCCACCCTGACCTGGCCACTTGCCAACCAGGTGGCCTCCCTGGGTGCAGTGGGGCTTGTGGCACACACACCTGGAAGGACGGGGTGGTGAGGTCACGGGCAAGGAAATCCTTTGAAGACCTGAAGACAAGGTCTAGTCCAGTCTTGTTAGAGACTGCCCACAGTGGGGTCTCCGGGCTGTCCTCATGTCCTCATCATGTGCTCAAAGCCCAGTGAAGGGGACTTCCCTGGTGGTCCAGTGCTTAAGACTCCATGCTCCCAGGGGGCCCAAATCATGGCCTGCGTGGGTCCCTTCCATGCCCACTGAGTCTCCCCACCCCCGCATCTCCCCCAGGGAGCTAGAACCTCAGGGCTGGCTCTGGGGCGCCCCAGATGCAGGGGGAGAAGTGCGCCCTCTGCTGGACACCACGCAGAAAGCAGGACCGAGCGGGGCTTGGAATGGGGACCGCGTTGCGGTCACTTGGGCTGTAGTCCAGGATGTCAGCGTCAGAAGGGACTCATTTTATAGATCCTAGAATAACATCACGATCCTCCTCACTTGGAGCCAAGCCCTGGGTTTGGCACTTCAGTCTCAGCATCTCACGTGATCTCACTAACACCCTCGGCCAGCAGTTCTCAAACTCTTTGATCTCTGGATCCCTTCATGCTCTTGAAAATTAGAGAGAACCTCAAAGTCCTTTTGTTTAGGTGGGTTGTTTATACGGATATTTTCTGTATTAGAAATTAAAACAGTAGTTTTTAAATATCTGTGTATTAATTCATTTACAGATGACCGTAGTAAACTTATAACAAAATATAACTTCTGCCTGTGAAAAATAACCCTCTTTTTAAAAGACAAAAAACTCTGAGAAGAGTGCTACCCGTTTTACATTTTTGCACATCTCTTTAAGGTCTGGCTTAATAGAAGTCAGCTGATTCTTACCATGGCTTCTGCCATTTAGTCTGTTGTGATAGCACACATCCTGTATCTTCTGGAAAATTCTCACTGTAAGAAAGAGAATGAAAAACGCAAATAACATTTTAATGTTATTTAGAAGATAGTTTGACGCCATGGACCCCCCTGAAATAGCCTTAGGGATCTCCCAGGATATTCAAACCAACTTGAGAACTGCTACCGGGACCACAGTACCTCATTGCCTCCATTTTGCAGATGAGGCACTAACCGGCTTCAGAGAGGTTAAGTAACTTGCCCAGGGTCACACAGCCAGCAAAGGGGCAGACAAAGTCTAGCATGGAGGAGCCCCGGACTTCCCCTTTCTGACCTCTTTCTGTTTCTTCATCCCTCCCTCCTCACCCCTTGGGTGCCCCAGGTGTTGGGCCTCCACCGTATTCTCCAGCTGTCCCCCTGGAGAGCACCCTCTGGAGGTCACTTGCTCTGTGCCCGACTGTGCCTGGTGTACTGCCATCACCAGAGGGAGGGTGGACTGAACTGGGACTGGGCTCCCACCCTGACCTGGCCACTTGCCAACCAGGTGGCCTCCCTGGGTGCAGTGGGGCTTGTGGCACACACACCTGGAAGGACGGGGTGGTGAGGTCACGGGCAAGGAAATCCTTTGAAGACCTGAAGACAAGGTCTAGTCCAGTCTTGTTAGAGACTGCCCACAGTGGGGTCTCCGGGCTGTCCTCATGTCCTCATCATGTGCTCAAAGCCCAGTGAAGGGGACTTCCCTGGTGGTCCAGTGCTTAAGACTCCATGCTCCCAATGCAGGGGGCCCAGGTTCGATCCCTGGTCAGGGAACTAGATCCTGCTTGCTGCAACTAAGAGCCTACATGCTGCAACTAAAGATCCGGTGCGCCACAGTTAAGACCCGGCACAGCCAAATAAATAAATATATATTTTAAAAAAGAAAAAAGCCCACTGAAGGGGCAGGGCAGGCCCAGAGGTCTGACTGTGCCCCAACACAGCCGGGTCTCTGAGCCTCCCAGCTCCTCCTGGAGCCACCTCCCACCCCAAGACCCCCATCCTGATCTGGAATGGGGTTCCAAGCTGCCTGGCTCTGGGCACGGAGAGTTTGCTAGCACCAGCCGGCTCTCATCCCCCCCGCGACCTGTCTCTAGAACAGTCTCTCCCCTCCCTGGGTCCTGGTGTTTCAGGCTGCACCCAGACCTCTGGGGGTCGTCCTTGGGACCCAGGAAAGGGTGTGAAGTGGGAAGGGGCAGAGGCCACCCTCCAGGGCCTCACAGGGGCCCTGTGTGTGTGTTTGCTGTCCAGGAGCTGAGGGCTGGCGGACCAGAAGCATGGGGGGCCCAGAGCATCCTGCACAGTGGAGCCCGAGGGGGCTTCTCCTGGACCCAGAGGGCAAGGAGGAGCTCACAGCACCAGGTACCTGCCTCCACAGGCAGGGGCAGGGCTGCCCGCGTTCATCTCCTGTGGCTGCTGTCACAGATCACCACCAACTTAGTGGCTAAAAGCAACGCAGATGTATTCTCTTAGTGTTCTAGAGGTCGGGAGTTGAAAACGGGTCTTTCTGGGCTGAAATCGAGGTGTCGGCTGGGCTGGGCTCCTTCTGGGGGACGCTCTGGGGGAAAATCGTTCCCTGGCCTTTTCCAGCTTCTCGAGGCGGCCTGCGTCCCTCTGCTCATGGCCCCTTCCTCCTCCTTCAAAGCCGGTCAAATCTTTCTCACATTGCGTCTTCCTGACACCACCTCTTTTGCATTCCTCTCCCGTCTCTGAAGGCCCCTTGTGATTACATTGGGCCCAGCTGGAAAATCTAAAATAATCTCTCTACTTTAAGGTCCGGCTGATTAACAACCTTAATTGCCCCCGCCATGCAGCATAACATATTCACAGATTTCGGGGATCAGGACCTGGACACTTTGGGGGGCCATTTTCCTGCCGACCACGTGCCCCGCAGCCTCTGCTCCCTCATCACAGCCTTGCCACCCAGGGCTCCCTCAGGCCACTGTTGCACCCCAGACAATCCCTGCGCGTTTCCCATCAGCGTCTCACCCCGCCAGGCCACCACACCTCCATGCCCGGGACCATGGTATTCCTGTAGAAACAAGAAGTTCTAGATTATTCTGAGCCACTCCCCACCAACTAGGGCAGCTTTGGTCTCCTGGAAACTGTATCAGACCAGGAGCCTGGAGCCCATTCTTAGCTCCACTGTGGCCAGATTTGGGTCCACTGGCTCCCTTCACCCAGTCCTGCCCATTCCCTCTCTCTGCAAGAGGGGCTAGAGAGGGGCACTCAGACATCTGAGGAACTGTGTGGATGCAGCACCCATGTGCCCTGCAGCCAGGAAATAACGGACATGGGGTCATCGGGTCCCCTCCTGGGGCAGGTGTTCCAAATTCAGAAGCCCGAGAGCTTCTGAAAGAAAGAAAACACGCTCTGTTCCCTCTCTGCTTTGTCAACGGATATAAGAAGGAGTTATTCACTCAAGTGTTTGCTGGGTTCTCTGCTGGGTGTGCTGGGCACACTGCAGTGGGCAGGGCAGGTGGTGGGCGAACTCAAGCGTTTTGATTTCACTTCTTTTTACGCACACCTTCAACAAACACTCTCGTGAGTACAGAAGGCCTGAGGGGAGGGAGGATGGGGTGTCTTTTGGTCCCTTTCCTTCTGTGTCATGATTTTACGCCTAAGCACTTGGCTAATACAGAGAAATGACCAAGTAAGACGGGCTATGATAGGGCCCCTCGGTCCTTTATGCATCTGCCTTCTTTCCACTGGAAGCAAGTTCTGATTCCCGTGGAAAGTGTGGCCCTTGGGGGCTGCCAGTGCCCCTACTTAGTCACACGTGTAGCACGCTTGCCTGGTACTCGCTTTGAGCCTCACTAAATGCCGTGGATGCGGGTCCCTAGGGATTCTGAGCTCACGGGGTGTTGGGCGTCATGAGCGCTGTGTGAACGGGCAGGCAGGTGCCACCGCCTTGCATACTGTGAGTTTCTCCTCTGCTTCTGTACAGACTCCCTTATCCCATGGCACTTGACTTACAAAACCCAAGTTCCAAGATAAAAGTCTTAAGAGTGTCAAGATAGTGACAGCAGAGCGTTAAGCCAGGCGTGGGGCCCCAGGTAGCTGCCAGGGTCACATGCCCAGGAAGCCAGCCCTGTCTGTGGAGGTATGAGTGGGCCACCCTCAGCGTCTTCTGTGCAGGGACCCTTTGATTTGGTAGTTTTATCTTTTGAAGGTTTAATTGCCAATAAAATCATTGTAGACATTTAAAATCCAGCTAATTAATTGAAGACCGTCAAAGCTGCCCTCTCTTGTCTTTAGAGAAGTTCCTGGGAGACC